AGAGAGGGAGAGAGAGAGAGAGAGAGAGAGACGGGCAATGGCAGCAAACCTGACAGGCCCCCCCCCCCAACGGGAGCCTCAGGGTGCACCCAATGGAACTCCCGCAACATACGAGGGTCCAGACTGAAGGAGCGGGGAATGCATGACCTTCTCAGGCCCATAGCCCTCCCAATCCACCAAATACTGAAAAGCCGGGCCCTGCGGACGATGTCCAGGATCGCCAGAGTGAGTATACAGGGCCACCATCAGCCTCGATGGCTGGAGGAGGGTGAGCCGGCAGAGGCCAGAGGGGACTGGAGGACACAGGTTTGAGTTGCGTCACATGAAACACTGGATGCACTCGTAGGGACTGGGGGAGCTTGAGGCAGACTGCTGTGTGATGAAGGACTTGCATAATGACAAAGGGGCCCAAAAAGCAAGGTACTAGTTTATGTAACACATTTTTCAGGGGGATGTGCACAGAAGACAACCAGACCTGCTGTCCAACCGGCGTTTTTTTTTGGGCATGTGGGTAAGCGGCCACGGTTTCAGTCCAGATCTTTTAGCATCGGCAGATATGGGCTTTAACTGAGGGCACGGCCACATGAGTCTCTTCCTCAGGTAATAAAGGAGGTTGGTACCCTAGGGAGGCCTCAAATGGGGAGACATCAAAGGCGGTGCTGGTGAGAGACTTGTGGGCTTGTGTAGCAGGGAGCTCCAGGAACTAGGCTCATTTCCATTGATACAGCAGAGGGCATCTTTCAGGTCCTGGTTAAGTATCTCACCCATTGGTTTGGGGGTGAAACACAGAAGACAGGCTGCACTGGGCCCTGATGGCTGAACAGAAGGTGGACCAGACCTGGGAGATAAACTGGGGGCCTGAACAAACAGTCGGTCTTGTGGGCCTGGCTGGGTTTGTTGGGCCTCCCAAATGGTCTCCTCTATCTCCAAGGAGACAGCAGCAATGATGGTGTCTGGGGTCTCCTCAGAAATGGAGAAGATAAACAGTTGGGACTGGGCGTCCGGTTTCTTGTTTTGTGCCCCCGACCAGTAGATGAGTGTAAAGCAGAGCCTGCCAAAGGAAAGGGCTCAACATGCCTGCCTCATGTTGAGTCGTATGGCAGACTGTAAGTAGGCCAGATTTTTATGGTCCGTCCATACCAGGAATGGCTGGTCTACTTCCAAAAGGTGGTGCCACTCTTCCAGCGTGAGTTTCACTGCCAGGAGCTCCCAGTTGCCCACATCATAGTTCCGGTCGGCGGGTGTCAGACGCCGAGAGTAAAAGATGCATGGGTGGAGTGTGTGGTCTTTGATCTTTATGACAGGACTGAACCCACACTGGTGTCAGAGGCATTGACTTCAATGATGAACTGTTTGGAGGGATAAGGTTCAATGAGAACTTGTGTGATGGTGAAGCAGTCCTTAAGTCTCCAGAAGACCTGCTCTGCCTACTCAGTCCACACAAACTTCACCTTGGTGGATGTTAGGTGGGTCAAGGGGGTGACTACTGAACTGTAACCCCGAATGAACCAATGGTAGAAGTTTGCAAAACTGAGGAAGCATTGCAGGTCCCTCCGGTTATTGGGTGTGGGCCAGGTGGTGACTGCAGTGACTTTTGCTGGAGGTCTCTCAGCACATCATTAATCAGGGTCTGGAAGACTGCTGGGGCATTGGTCAAACCAAATGGCATAACCAGTTATTCAAAATGTCCAAGAGGGGTCTTGAATGCAGTCTTCCATTCATCTCCCTATCTCATCCTTACCAAATGATATGCATTATGCATGTCCACGGCCCCTAGTGGTGAGGACAATGGTCGTATGATGCCTGCTCTGAGGAAATCTGGAATATATGTCTCCATAGCTTGTCTTTCGGGTTTGGAGATATTATATAGGCAGCTGGATGGTAGGAGAACACCTGGGAGGAGATCAATAGCACTGTAGTATGAATGATGCGGAGGAAGTGACAGAGCTTGATCTTTACTGAAAATGTCCCTCAGGTCATGGTATTCTACCGGCACCAAAGAGAGGTCTGGACTGTCACATACAAGAGGTGGCTGTACTACAGATGGGATGTGCTGCTTTGAGACAAGTAGAAGAACAAGCGGAACTCCACCAGGTGATTGAACCAGTCTGCCAATCGATCTGTGGGTTGTGGTGTTGAAGCCAAGAATGCCCCAGCACGAGGGGGGACTGTGGAGTTGTTAAGATCTTGAAATGTGTGTGTTCATGATGACTGCTGGTGACTACTACCTGGATGGGGGACGTTTGGTGGGTGATGTAGGCCAACTAACAGCCATCAATAGAATGAGTCTTAAGGCTGTGTGCTAGCGGTTGTGGGGTTAGCTTTAGTTTCTTCACCAACTCAACATCAATTAAATTCTCTCCAGCCCCGGAATCCACTAATGCAGTGAGTGAGACGGTTTGACCCACGATGTTCAAAATAACCAGTATTTCCAAACTGGTAGATTTGTGTGTGGTGGTCTCCTTGGTTTTGCCCGCCAGCACTCCCACTCTTACTGATGGGCCCCGTCTTTTGGCAGAATCTGACAATCCTCAAGGTGGTGCTCCAAACGGCCACAGTACATGCAGGCCTGACTTTTTATGCAATGCACATTCTTGGGGAGTGAAATGTGTCCTCCCTAGCTGTATAGGTTCTTGCTCAGGTGGGGGAGTCATGGGCGTGAAGCCAGCCTGACAGCTTGAACAGGCTTGGTCAGGACTGATGTGTCTTGGTTTGGGCTGTGTGGGTCTAGAGCGACTAGTGGTGCTGGCTTTTTCCTGATGGCGTTCACATAGATGACTGTCTATGCGTATGGCAAGATTAACCAGTGAATTGAGGGAGGTTGGCTCATCTCTGGTGGCTAATTCATTTTAATTTAGTCTTGTAAGCCATGCCAAAAAGCCCCTCTCAGAGCTTTGTCATCCCACCCTGCCATGCCACCAGCACTCAGAACTCAAC